AATCAACCAATTCCTCGGGACTTTTAGTTTGAATGAGAAATTCCATAATGGAGCCTGGTTTTATCCGAGGATATTGTGGATAAGGATACTGATTAGGAGAATGAGATTGGGAGTATTGCGTATTTGGAAGAGGGTAAGAATAGGAAGATGAGAAATTTTGTGGTGTAGGAGAATAATTTTGATGAGATGTGTAATATTGAGGAGGAGGAGGTGTGTAAGGAGGGTATGGCGTATATGGTGAATATTCCATGGAGGTTTGAGGGTAAGGAATTCCTCCAGGAATTTGGCTGAATAGGTTCATCTCATGCCTCTTAGAAATTACCTGAAAGGTTAGCACAGAAAAATCCTACGAAGAACTAAAAAAAAACTAACTAAAAAAAATCTCGCTGAAATTAATTAACCCTTAAAACCGACACCGTCCCCGGCAACGGCGCCAAAAACTGATGTGTGTTTTCTCGCACTTAAAATAGATTGTAATAAAGTGGTGTAAGTACGAGTATCGTCTCCACAGGGACGGACAAAAGAGAATCAAGAATTAATTAAATTCAGCGATTAAAAAGAAATAAATAAAAATGCGTCGTGCGAGATTGGTTGCTGGAAAAATAAAACTAATGCGAACAATTAAACTAGGGGGTTCTTTCTAATTAATGACGAAGGGAACAGGGATCGATTCCGGGGTAACCAGATTTCTGGCAGATCAGGCCTAATTACATGAAATTAATTTAATTGAGCCTAGCTAATCATTACTAAGTTCTTACCGCTCTCGCGGCGTAGAGTACAATAATTTAGGGGACCAGACTGATCTCTCATGCGACAGGATCCTAAATTATTGCCAAGACGAGCGAGCTTATGGCCCCTTAATCGCTACTAATCTCTTAGCGAACGATTAAGTGTGTGTGAATGTGTCCTAGAACAAATTAGATCTCTCTTAATTTATTCTACATGCAATTGTAATTCTAGTCGCGATTCTAGGTTACAAAAGATATCAATTAAATTATTCAAACACAAATTAAACGGCATTCATGCAATTAATCCATCAAGAAACTAGCCATACATCATGATCAACCCCTTCATCAATCCCAAATCCCTAATTAAACTACTCACAATTCATAATTGAAGAATCAATAGAATTGGGAAGAATAGAATTAATTGTCATTAATTAAAAAGATGGAACTTACAAAGAATACCAAAAGATTGACGAACAAGGCTGAAAAACCCTCTAAAATTCGTGCTAGGCACTCTCTCTAAGCTCCCCCCTTGAAAACGGGGGTTTACAGGCTGTTTAAATAGAAAAATCGGGTGAAATTTGAGCTGAATTAGGATTTTCGGAGCCAGACACGATGCCAGGCACGATCGTGCCTTCGATCGTGCCTCCGGAGCAAAAACGCGCATTTTGGGCAGGCACGATCGTGCCTCCCTCCAGGCACGATCGTGCCTGGCTGGCAGTGACTCCGCGATGCTTTTCTCTTCAGGCACGATCGTGTCTGACTTTGAGGGCACGATCGTGCCTACTTAACTTCCGAATTTGACAAAACTTCCTGCGTGAAAGTTGTAGATAATGAAGTCCTCTATCGACCCCAATTTGCCGAATGTTATTTGAATCATCCAATCAAGAGATATGATCAAAACGGTGGAAGGTGTCTTTCTGAAATCGCAGTAGAGATCATCTGACTTCATCGTCTGTTTTCACCTTCTTCCTCTCATATTCTCGCAAAGGTGTCTTCATATGATTTGTATCCCATTAAGTTAGCTTTCATACGGAACTTGAATCGTGTACATTGGATGTTTCTACAAAGAGCTGTGCTTGAACGATTGACAGAAGGTCATCCTCATCGTCGTTTTCAGGCTTCATTCATCTTCTTTTGATCCCGAAGCCAATCCTAGAGCTCTTTTTCCTTCAAATCTTCATCGTGAATCTTCCGGTGAACTCCAAAGCTATCAAATTATTCTCAAATGCTTCTCAAATCATCCCGATTGTTCCTCAAGTGCCGGTACCGGGCTCAAATTCCCTGATTTTGACTACAAACAACACAAAACTCGAACCAACGCCCGGTAATCATAACTTGAGCTAAAATTGAGACTTGTAACACCTTAAAGATAGGAAAATCATCAAAAGCCGATCTCAACACACATCAAATGCGTGTCAAAATACGGACTTATCAATGCTTAACCTACAAGTTATAAGCAATTAGATGTTGATCCTCACCTCAAATGAGCTCCAAATTTCCCTCTTTCAATCGTATGCCCAAACCTCTGGACAAGGAATATTAGAGACTGATTCCTTTCTTAAAAATAGTATCTAGACGATCTCCTCCAAGTGATGATTCGTCCCTTAGAAAGATATATGAAAACAGTCCCCTAGAAGCTAAGGGCGTTTTTCGGCGAGTTCGTCTCCTAACCTTTCAAGTTTTGTTCTAGGTTAGTATTCAACCTTTTGAATGACAAAAATACTAAATTAAGGCCTTAATCTACACATATAAACTTGTAGAACATCCAACTTAGTCGTTCATCGGTTTTGTAAACAATTAAGGTAATAGCTAGAAACCAAACACAAACTGTTTTGAGAATCCAGATTTTTCCTCGTATGTTTATCCGGTCTTTCTGGGATGTAAACTCTTCTTCTTCTCAAGAATTTCACCTAGTATAAAATCTTTCTTCAATACCTTTCTATAGAGCCGTTAATCAAGCCCATTGAATAAGAGATGCTCGATATATGGACTGAACAATCTCAAGAGTTGCAATTGTGCAAGCTAGCAGACAGTAGCTTTCTTTACCTCTCTTTTGTTTGTGTGAGCTCTTCCTCTCCTCCATGGATCAAGGATTTAGTATGGATGCTACCACACCTATCCTAGACCACCCACTAATGATGTTTAATTCGTATGGTGTGAGAATGAGATCATGTGGGATGATTGACAAAATACCTCTCAATCAATTTGGAGGAGGGCACCTTGATTTGTCACAAAGTCATGTGCAGCCCCCTTTTTCCTTATGTCCGCCTCTCAATAAGTCTACTAACTTATTTCATTTTTTCGCAGGTGCAAAGAAGGTATGGGACGACCCCCATAGGTGCCAATCAATTTGGGAGAAAAATATCTACCAATACTTCAAAAAATTGAAGATTTGAGTTCTATTGTTTTGTACTTTTTTCGTCTTTCCTACATCATATTTGATGGAGTATATTCCCATATACCCTAGGGGTATCATATTCGCTGGAAGAAAGCATTGCGGGTCCATCAAAGACGCAAGAAATACTAAGTCCACAGTCCAAGACTGACCCCGACCGCCGAGGTCGGGAAAACACCAAGCTCAGGAACCAACCAAACTCCGTGGGTAACGAGGTCAACCGACCCCGACCCCAAGGTCGGGAAGATATCAGGCTCAGGAATCAACCGAACTCGGCAAGTCATGAGCCCGACCTCGATGCACCCGAGGTCGGTACCAGGTCTGACTCCGGAAGACAAGCATTTAGTCAACTATGATCAAGCACCAGGCAGTCAACTATCGCCAGGACAGGAACAAAGGACAAAAGGGCGGATCCTCTCAACACGAGCCCGAGCTCTCAGGTATCGACCTCAGTGGTCCCCAAGGTCAGGATAAAGCGCCATGTACTTAGATAGAATCCGCAAGGATTTGTCTCGCAAGGAGACACCGCCACGTCACTCTCTGCACCAAAGGAATATTCCAGGCTATCCACGTGCAGCCACACGGGACTTCTGGCAGGAATTCTGTTAGAAGGATAATCAATCAGCCAGCTATTAAAGGTCCTCTCTCCAATCAGCTTCACACGTGGCCGATCCTCATTGAATTGGGTTGTTAGTTTGTTAGAATAGCTTTACGCGTGTCCTTCTCCCATTAGACTAACATCTTTGGCTTGACCTCCAAGTATTTCCTTTTTCCTTAGTATAAAGATCACCTTCCAACTTGTGGAAAGGGATGCTTAATCTGTTGCATACTTGAGACTTATACACTGGTAGATTCCGGCCACCCCTGGTCCGACGATCCATCAATATTATTGGTCTCTAATATGTGTAGAATGATCCCAATAATTTATATGGTGTTCAAGAAATAGGGGAAAAACCTTATTCCCTTAATTTAGCTCCATAATGTTAAAGATGAGAGCATAGGAGTTTGTTTTTGTCTCTAGGGGTTCCCTCACCCCTTGATTCATATATATTAATTATTATAGTCCTTCTGATATTTTTTGGAGTCTATAATAAGTGTGTGATACCCTCAAGTAGTCCTGGGATATCTCTTACCATTAAACTTGCTATTTTTAGCAAGTTGGTACCAAATTGATATTTGGGCTGCCCATTTTTTCTTATCGGGCCCGGATGTCTTATGATCCCTTCTTTATTTAACATTGGGCTCTTGCAACTAATAAGATGAACCAATAAAGTATTCGGTGGCCCACCCTTATACTACAGACTCGATTTATATTTTAATTAATCATTTATTAAATAGAGCCTTAATCATTTAACACATGATTAACGGTAGAGAGAGTTCAAGTGCATGGAATGAATTTTAAAACAAAGTTTCGAGTACACTTGGGTGCAGTGTCACACAGATCATATCTCTCAAATCCATCCTTGCCAAAACTACCAATGGTGACCACGTTAGCCGACGACTTGGTACTTGCTCAGAGTACTATTTTTGAAGAAGACCTTGTTGTCTTTATCTTAAATGGTCTTGGACCTGAAAACCGAGATCTCACGTCCACCATTCGGGTTCGCACCACTCCATTACCTTTAACTCAGCTTCAAAGCATACTCCAGGGAGCATGAAAGTGAGCTCCACGAACAAGCTCCAACCACTTCGGCTCTTCGTTCCATTTTTCCATGGGTAAATGAACATCTAGGGCCCATTTAGTTATATTGACATTGGGTGAATCTAGTAAAATTGAAGAAATTCTAGTTGGAGCAAATAATTTAGCTTAGCATGTTGAATTGTGAAAAAATTATTTAAAATATATTTAATTAATACAACGAAGAAAAACTCATATAAAAGTAATTAAAAATAATTCTCTTTAGAAACTTTGGTCAATTCAGAAAACTAACTTTAACCTTACATATAATGATTACAACGCAATCAGGTGTGCGGTATTAGAAGTTACATGTGCCGTAAAGTTACATGATCGGACTGATAAGTTTAAAACAAGGATTCTCAAATCGGCTCTTAGTATCATGCATCAACGCTTCTCACAATGCGCATAACAAGGTAGTAATTTGTATACACATGCATATATGCATGTGTGACTATAACATTAGACATTTCACATTCATCACACATCGCATTCGCCATGTACAACTAAGTTAATGTTTAGCGACCTTCAATTTTAGTAATTGATACATTGTTAACAGATTCATTTCCTAAACATGGCGCAACAACCCCTTGATTGATCACAAATCCGGGTGGATTAGGATGAGGAAGTGTTGTTTCATTGCTCAGCATGAAAACCACTTCTAACATGGTCGGTCTGTGGTTGGGAAAGGCTTGAACGCACAACAAACCAACATGAATGCATCTCAAAACTTCTCGTTCTTCATATGATGCCCCCAGTGATGGATCAATCATATCTAGTGGTCTTTCTTCCCTCCAGAAATTCCAAACCTGAAAATCAAGTATTGAATACAAGCAAATCAAATATTTTCAACTTTTTGTGAAAACATTATATTTAAATTGCTTGTGAGATACTTACATCCTCTACCAAATTCAAAGAGTCTTCATTAAATCGATTTTTGTTTTTTCTCCCACTCAAAATTTCTAATAACATTACACCATAACTAAAGGTATCTGACTTCACTGAAAAGTGACCTTCCATTGCGTATTCTGGGGACATATAACCGCTGCAGTTAATGAATAATATAATGTGTTAATAACATCAAATGCAGTCCATTTCAACATTTTTCTCTTAGGTTTCTGGAACAACAATGATGTAAACTTACTATGTCCCGACTACTCGATTTGTATTTGCTTCGATTTGGTCTTCTCCAAAAATTCTAGCCATTCCGAAATCAGAAATTTTTGGCTGCATGGATGCGTCCAACAAAACGTTACTAGCTTTCAAGTCTCTATGGATAATTTTCAATCTGGAGTCTTGATGGAGATATAAGAGTCCCTTTGCAATCCCCAAGATGATCTCAAATCGTTTACTCCAACATAGAGATATCTTATTTGCTTTATCTGCAAGACGATGGTCAACTATTTCATGAATCTATATTATAAAATGTTGTTAGTAAGAACTTGAGTAGTCTGATGAAAATTCACCAAATAGGAAACTGTCCAAGCTCTTGTTAGGCAAGTACTCATATATCAACAGTTTTTCTCCACGTTCAATGCAACACCCTAAAAGTCTGACTAAATTTCTATGTTGGAGCCTTGCTATAACTGTAACTTCGTTCTTGAATTCAACTGTCCCTTGCCTAGAAGATCTCGAAAGTCTTTTCACTGCTATGAGCAATCCATTCTCAAACTTCCCCTACAAACACACATACACCAATATATGTATATCGCTAAGCCATGGTTGAAAATTTATTGGTGTTAGTAGAAACATCGGTGTTTTACTTTAATGGATGCATGTCTTTTGTACTTAAGAAACTCATTGTTAATTTGTTTGTGAAATAATTCATAATTATTTCCTTACTTTATGTTTAAGTATTGAATATTACTACGTATTTGATACAAGACTGTTGATTATATCGTTTGTTAATTATTTCAAACTGTGATACTGATTTACCTTGTAAACAGATCCAAATCCGCCTTCACCAAGCTTGTTGGCATCCGAGAAGTTATCTGTGGCAGCTTTAATGGAATTGAGATCATAAACTAATACATCTTTCTCCCTACTTTCTTTCATATCTTTGCCCAAAAGAGACCAATCCGATGATTTAAAACTACTACTCTTACCATTCGAGAGGTGGTTCCTACCTAGAAATATATAGACATCAGTAAATGATCTTCAACATCAACAATAAAAATTCATGATTCAAATGCTAATCTTTTAATGGACAATAAGGATGTTTTTACCTGAAATTTGCTGGTTTAGTCTGGTATGAACTGGTCAAGTCTGGTCTGTTTTGGTATGAACTGGTTTGGTAAATGTCTGGTCTCTGTGTACTTTATAACTATAGAAGTCTGAATTGGTCTGGTCTGGGATGGAAAACAGTTCAAGTAAATACATGCAGGAATACGGTAAGGGAGTGATTTTCGGAGAATCATAAACTTTTCTGAAATGATAAAACTTTCATCCTCTTCCATTCATTTGGGCTTACAAATAAAATGAGAACCTAACTCTGTCCAAGTATATATGTAGCTCGTTGCTGTAATATTTTTTTTCATCAAAGGGCGAATGTTATATGATCAGATTTCACAGTCCTTACTTTACTAAAAAAAGTTACATATAATAAATAATTTTTCAGGCCACCCTGGATGCAGGGGTGGAGCCACCTTTGAGGTGTGGTGTCAATTGAAATTTTTTCCCCATATATAGATATATAAATTTTTTTAAAAAATTTAAATTGACACCACTGAAAAATAAAAATTTTATGTATATAGGCATAGATAATCTTTTAAAAATTGACACCACTTACACTAGATCCTGTCTTCGCCCCTCCTGGATGGGAAGCTCTAGATGACATGTTATGTGGACATGTGGTTGGGAATGATAAACAGGCACCCTACAGCCCTACTTATGAGAATATCAAGTTTATTGATGTGAATAGAGCCAGCTGCTTCTATTCCATGAGGATTCGGCAAAAAAAAACAAAATAAATAAATCCTAGTCGGAATTGGGTGTTCCAACTCCCGTTTTTTGGTAAACCCTAAAAAAATCCCCATATTTTGGCAACCCCAACCCATTTTTCCCGTTTTTTGGTAAATCACCTGTGGTGTTTAGCATGTGTGCAGAAGACCTATTGAAGATAAGTTATGTGAACTTTTTTCATATATGTAATAAACAAGGTTAATTTATTGAAATACTTATATTGAATTATTTGTATAAAATAATAAGTGATTATAAGACGTCTGCGTTACTTTAATCTCTTAAATGGAACAACTAATTTAAACGTAATTAGATAATGTTGAAAATGAAGTGCTGTTAAGAAATTTGTGATACCTTTTCTTAATTTGACCATGAACAAAAAGAGCATCAGAAACACCGCAACAATAGGCAAAACAAGAGTGACTATAAGCCTTATCCCGCGAAGCCCTTTGGATCTCACTGGAGTCACTGCAAACAAAAAAAATGGTGTTCTATAAAATACGTAGTAGAATTTAGGGAGTGAATTAGAAATTAGTGACAAAATTTTAAAAGTCTATGAATGTTAAAAGTTTAGATATATTCAATACAGACTTTTTTAAAAGTCTATAAAGTATTCAAATATCCGTTCATTTTTATTGACTTCTAAAATCATGGATTCTCATGCACTTTTAAGGCATTCTTAATACATTAATTCTCTGCAATATTCTCTTCTCCTCACCAAAGATTTCCATGGATTTTTCTGTCGTCTTCTACTCACCACAAGTACGCATAGATCTGATTGCAGATTTTGCTAATTATTTACTCGAGATTTCAAACGCGCCAACAAGTCCTGGACTAATACCGGCCGGATCGGGAGGTGGGTACCAAGATGGTCTCAATATGCAAGATTTGAACATTAAATTTTGATTATTTTTTATCATTTCATGATAAATATAGTTGAACAAGGAGATTCTACATTATTAGTGATAAACATGATAAACTTATTTTAAAAAAAACATGATAAACTTAAAAAAATAAAAAGTGATATTTTGTATTTCATCTTACGAAGAAAAATGTAGGGGTGAGACCAGTTCAATTCTTGAAAGAAAATTAGGAACCATTTGAAGAACCATTATTCCCATATCGATTCGGTTCTAGAAGTTTTTAGAAGAATCGATATAAGAATCAATAGTATTACATCGATGCAATTGTGCTACGTCGCCAGTTAACCATTAAGAAAAAATATTTTAACTATTACTGTGTTTCATCGTTAAACCGCTGACACATAAAATTATAATTTCAAATTATTAATTATATAACCGTAAATAAGTATACAAAACCTAACAAGCTAAAAATGATATGAAAACAATTATTATGAAGATACTCAATTATATTGCACATATTCTTGTACCACATGTAGGCATGGAGCAATAAGTGTAACGCTTGTGTTTTTTTTAGAGGAATTTATTAAGAAAAAGATAGGGTATGTTGGGATAATGGCCCAGGCCGAGGTCCGGCCCATTAACCCCTTTTTTTTCTATCGGACGCACGTCATGCTAGGACCAGGCTGGGCGCAGGCCCATGACCTTTGGAAAGAGACGAACGTCTGGAATTGGGGGGTCCAGGTTTCAAACGGCCCATTGCGACGAACGTATGTGCAGAGGTAAGGGGCAGGACCCCTGGCCATCAGGGATAACGACGAACGTCTCGTGGGCAGGCCCATGATCGTCGGAGGAGATCCAGTCCACATGGAGAGAATCCACCAAGGTCAGGGGACGAACAGCCGAAGTCTCTTGAGGATCACTTGGAGTGACCCAGCTCACCCCCTGGCAGACGAACGTCCCCATTATTTAGGCGGGAAACCTAGATTCTGGCGGGAAGTGCATTTAATGCAGAAGATTTGGTGGTTGGGACACAAGCGGTCCGCAGGCCTCCACGTCAGCATAGCCACCTGCCATTGGCGGGTATAAATAGAAGCATTTATTTCATTGTAAAGGGTTGGCAACTTTCTATTATTAGCACTCTAGCTATAGCATTCTTGCTCGCAGCACTTCTACTGCCTTGTAAGACGAACGGCCGACGGGGCCTTAGCGAAAAGTATTGTATTAGGGAGTTATTAAGAGATAATAATACCTAATCAGTTACTCGCTACCTTACTGCCTTCCTAATCCATATCATCTGCTTGTTGGGCTAGTTTAATCACACACTCCATTCGAAATCCTTGGGCTTACGTGTTGGACCCGGGGGTTGAAGGAATAAACCTCAACACTGGCGCCGTCTGTGGGAAACTGAACTAAAAGTTTCCAAAAAACTCTCCCAAACAGCTACTAAATCTACCCACAGCAAGCACGATGACAAGAAACAACCGCCAACACGACCTCTCCGAGCAGTTGTCCCGCGGGCGAAGCAACCGCGGGCAAACCACAGAACGTTCCGAGACGTTGGGGACAACCGGGGGAGAGGGTGGCCTCACAAACCTCATCCCCCATGAGGCCAGGCATGACCCTCGACTCATGAGGGAACTGGTGGAAACAATGCGCCGAATGGCGGACGAACAGGAGGCAAACGAAGAGGTGTACTCAGCTAACACCATCTGGACGCCCATATCACCCGTCCACCGCATGCAGTCCCTGGATGAGACAGCGGAATCGGCCGGGCGTCGGACGCCCATCCACATGAGGTTGGGTCAAAATCCACCCTCCCACGGAGCTGGGGGGCACACCGGTGCCAGCACTCCTCGGTATGGCTGGCAGGACGATCACCGAGGGCGTACGCCGGACGTTCCCTCAGAACGTCAGGGCACCACCATCACCCCCGCCGCCAGTAATATTGGACGACGTTTCCAAAGGCATGGTGCCCATATCATCCGAAGGCAACCCGACGCGGTTGCCCCTCGAAGGAACGTTGCGCTCGAGGCCGCCCCTCCTGTGTCCCCCGGAATGGCCGCACAGGAGGCCCGGCTAGAGGCAATGGAACGGCGGATAGCCGAAATGGACAGACGGGCGGAGGCCACCCCGGCTACGCCGCGTTTCTCCCTCACTTCACCCTTCACTCCGAGGGTCATGAATGCAGAGATCCCGCGGGACTGCAGGCCCCCCCAAGGGATTGTATACAACGGGACCGGGGATCCCAAGGCTCACTTGATCAGCTTCCAGGGGAACCTCTCCATGCTGGGAGCATCCGATGAGGCCATCTGCCGGCTTTTCTTCAGCACCCTGAGGGGACCGGCGCAGGAATGGTTCGGGCAGCTGAAGCCCGGATCTATTGACAACTACGAGCAGCTGTCCCAGCAGTTCATGGCCCAATTCGCTGCCAGCACCACCCCCAAGAAGAGCTTCACATCGCTCACCAGTGTGAAGCAAGGAAAGGGCGAACCTCTGGCTCAATTCCTGGTCAGGTGGAGGGACGAAGTACTCCAGGTGGACGACCTGGACGAGCGACTAGGGGTGAATCTGTTCACCAGTGCTCTGGCGACGGGGGACCTATACCGAGACCTTCGGAGGAATCCCAGCACCAGCTACACTGAGGTGCTGGCTCGGGCGCAGAAGTATGCCTCCATTGAGGAGGAGATCAGATTGAGGGACGGCACTCCTGCGGCCCCTCCCCGAAAATTGGCAGACAGGCTCGGCCCTGGAGGCGGACCGTCCCCCCCGAGCAAAAAGAAGAAGACGGACGGCGGCATGGTTCCATGGAGGGCTCATCCGGAGGCCAGCCACGCACATCCGGAGGAATACCACGTTCCTCTGGCCTACCCCGTCAGTCAAATTTTCGACGCCATCAAGGACAAGGGCATCCTGAGAGAGCCCCAAGACAAGAAAGCGCGTATGGGTCTTGACGAGACCGCATACTGCAAGTACCACCAGAGGGTCGGCCACCTCACCGACAATTGCAAGCAGTTGAGGATGGCCATCGACGAACTGATCCGACAGGGCTACCTGGGCGAGTTCACCCAACTACTGAAGAAGAATAGCCCAAGGCAGCCGAACCCGAGATCGCGGTCATGGCGCCGCGACGATCGGCGCGAGGCGGAACCAAAGGACGCAGACTATCGGAGTGCTGACAAACGTCCGGAGGGGTCCCTCGGCCCGGACGGCGGAAAGAAGAAGTTGGAGATCAAAGTGATCTTCGGGGGCGCTGAGACTGGGGACACGCCTGCAGAACGGAAGAAGTTCGAGAGGTCCCTCTATGTGGGCTCCATATCAGCACCCCCCACCAAAAAGAACAAGGTGGAGGCCATCACCTTTGGACCGACCGACCTACCGATGTCGCCGTCCCCCCACAGGGATGAGTTGGTGATCAGCATGGATGTCAACAATGCGATCGTCCGACGCGTCCTTGTTGATACGGGCAGCAGCGTGAACGTCCTCTACTGGGAGGCATTCGAGGGAATGAAGTTGAGGAAGGACCAGCTGGCCCCCCTGCGTACCCCTCTTTCTGGCTTCACAGGGGACTGCATCGATGCGGAAGGTACCATCGGCCTCCCCGTTGAGATCGGGGATGGACCTCACACCACCCGCATCCGAATGACGTTCGTCGTGGTCCGCCTAAAATGTGCTCACAACGCAATTTTGGGCCGGCCCGGCTTGGAGGATCTTGAGGCCATCTGCTCCGTGCGGCACTCATGCATCGAATTCCCCACCGAGACAGGGGTAGGGGTCGCCCGCACGGATCCGCACATGGCCAGGGCCTGCTACACCAAGGCCATGGAAAGGTTCAGAGAGCGAGAAGCCCGGGTCAACAGCATTACTGAGAAAGCTAGGCAGGCTGACTTCGACGCTCGTCTGGAACCGGCCGCCCTGCTCGAGGAAGTGGAGCTGGATAACCCCTCAGACAGGAAGGTGTCCATCGGTGCCGACCTCGAGCCTGAGATCAAGGAGGGGGTCATAGCCGTCCTCCGGAGGTTCAAAGTCCTATTTGCCAGAGGGCCGGAGGACATGCCCGGGATAGACCCCAACCTCATCTGCCACAGACTCGCCGTCCGGCCGGATGCCAAGCCCATACAGCAGAAGAAGAGATACATGGCAGCCGAACGGCGAGAGTTCATCAAAAGGGAGGCAGCTACGCTCCTCAACATCAAGCACATCCGGCCGGTCATCCACGTGGAGTGGTTGGCCAACGTAGTGCTAGCCCCGAAGGGCGACACTTGGCGGATGTGCGTCGACTACTCGGACCTCAACAAGGCCTGCCCGATGGATCCATATCCAGTGCCGAGGATCGATTTGCTCGTGGATGAAACGGCGGGCTGCGAGCTGCTCAGCTTCATGGATGCATTCAGAGGCTACCACCAGGTATTCATGCATCCCGATGATGCAGAAAAAACGGCGTTCGTCACAGCGGAGGGCGTGTACTGTTACGTGGTCATGCCGTTCGGCCTGAGGAATGCCATGGCCACCTTCCAGAGAATGATCGGGATGTTGTTCAAAGACGTACTAGGAAAAACAATGGAAGCTTACGTAGATGACATCCTAATCAAAAGCAAGAAGAGGGAA